TTGTTAGCGAGCAAAGGGGAGGTGTGGACCGCGTCGGCCGCGCGGGGTGGCCGTGGCGATCGCGTTCAGGCGCGATGCGCGGGCGCGGCCAGAGCGCGCGGGACGTGGGGGAGTGGGTGTGCGAGTTGGTGCGAGGCGTGGCCTGGCAGGCCGGTGCTCGCGGGTATAAAGCCCTGGATCCTCCCTGTATCTTGTTGACACGGTCGAGTTCGTGCTCGAGGAAAGGAGAAGGCGTACGTGCGCCGGAAAAACCCTGTGTCCACTGTCTCCTCTGATCATCTTCCTCCTCCTGCTTCTGTCCTTCGTGCGCAGAGAGAGCGAGAGAGGGAGAACTAGGGCTAGCTAGGGTTCGGGGGAGAGGCCACGGTTCCAACAATTGGCATCAGAGCGATAGGTGAGGGAGCTCGCCGGCGGTGATGGCGCTGGCTCCACACGGCGGCGGCACGGGCGGGTCGGTGCCCATGGGGATGCCGATGCTCTCGCCGGACGGCTACACCGTGTGGGCGATCAAGGCGCAGGCCATCCTTGATGCCCACGCGCTGTGGGAAGCGGTGGCGCCGGGCGACTCGCCGGTGAACAACAAGAAGTGCAAGACGGCGCGTGCACTGATCTTGCAGGGGCTGTCGGAGGACGTATTGCTCTCGGTGGCGACGAAACCCACTGCCAGGGAGGTATGGGACTCCCTGTCGGTGCGGTTCGTCGGTGCCGAGCGGGTGCGCGCGGCGAGGAGGGCGACGCTGCGCGGCGAGCTGGACCGGATGAAGATGGAGGAGGGCGAGCAGCTGGACGCGTACGCAGGAAGGCTTGCAGGCATGGCGGCGCGGTTCGCGGGGCTAGGGGAGACGCTGGGGGACACGGAGCTGGTGAAGAAGCTCCTGGACACTGTCCCGGACCGCCTCTTCCCCGTCGTCGCCGGCATCGAGCAATTTTGCGTGCTGGAGGAGCTCACCTACGATGAGGCGCTCGGGCGGCTGCGCGCATTTGACGAGCGCGTGCGGCGCCGCGGGCAAAGCAGCGGCGAGCGCCAGGACGACCAGCTCCTGTACACTGCGGCGCAGTGGCGGGTGCGGGAGCGGCGTCACGGCGGGGCTCGGGACGATGACGATGACGCGCGCAGTGTGGCGACGCGGGACGGCGGCAACAAGAAGGGCCGCTGCTACAAGTGTGACGAGCGCGGCCACTTCAAGCGCGACTGCCCGGAGCTGCGGAGGGCGCCGGCGGCGGAGCAGGCGATGCTGGTGAACGCCGACGTCGAGGACAACGGCCTCCTCTAGGCCACGGCTTAGGGGGAGTGTGTTGGCAATAAGCCGTGGCATGCCCGAGGCGCGGTGTGCGCGTGCGTGCATGCAGTGGCCGCGTCGGGTTCGGCCCGCGGCAGGGCTCGGGTGCGTGTGTGCGCGACCGAGCGTAGGTGTGTGTGTGCGTGAGCTCACGTGTGCGTGCGCGGGGCCACGCGGTGTTGTTAGCGAGCAAAGGGGAGGTGTGGAGCGCGTCGGGCGCGATGCGCGGGCGCGGCCAGAGCGCGCGGGACGTGGGGGAGTGGGTGTGCGAGTTGGTGCGAGGCGTGGCGCAGGCCGGTGCTCGCGGATATAAAGCCCTGGATCCTCCCTGTATCTTGTTGACACGGCCGAGTTCGTGCTCGAGGAAAGGAGAAGGCGTACGTGCGCCGGAAAAACCCCTGTGTCCACTGTCTCCTCTGATCATCTTCCTCCTCCTGCTTCTGTCGTTCGTGCACAGAAAGAGCGAGAGAGGGAGAGCTAGGGCTAGCTAGGGGGAGAGGCCACGGTTCCAACAGTGGTGCGGCTCCATTGGTCAACGTTGCCGATGTGCATCTCCTAGGGAACCATCATCCTGGTCATCGATCCAGTATGAGTGCATTTCTTCCTATATCCCGTTGATTCAGGCGCCACCTCCGTAGACACACCTCTCCCATAAGAGGAGAGGGAAAGGGGAGCCATGGGAAGGCAACAGAGGGGGAGGGAGCCGTTGGCGGCAGCAGGGAGAACGAGGCCTACATCGTGAGGATAGGTGGCGACAGTAGAGGAGGGAACATGTGCAGGTTGAGAAGAAAATAAGAGAGATTGGATGCGGGGAAGAATAAATGTGTGACGTTCTCGGAAGAGGAGGGAGGTTCGGTCTAAGTGGTGTATTCCTTTTTGACACTAAGTCAATGCGGTGAACCAACCAAACCAACACTCATTAAAAAACCTGTAGCGTGATCTGCGCGTAGCTCACATGGTTAGCTTTCTTGTGGTTGTATTGGCCCATCAGGCTTCAAGTCCTAGACTGAGGCTAGTACTTGTATTTTCATGGATTTATTTCAGGCTTTTCAGCGATGTTTGTTCAGTGGAGGAGACGTTTCCGTCGACTACGAAGGCGCCTGTGGTGACTTCATCAATCTCAAGATGTTGTGCCGACCCAGTATCTCAGAGGTGCTCATAGAGGTAAGGTGTGCGTGTGTGCGTTCGTAGGATGCATGTATGTGCGTGAACATGGGCATCAACATCGTCTACGAAGACGCCTATGTGACTTCGTCAATCTCAAGATGTTGTGTCGGCTCAGAATCTCAGAGGTGCTCAGAGAGGTAGGGTGTGCGTGCATGCATTCATAGGGTGAGAGTATCTATGTGTACGTGGGCATCAACGTCGACTAAGAAGATGCTTGTGATGCCTTTGTCAATGTTAAGATGTTGTGTCGACTTAATATCTCGAAGGTGCTCGTAAAGATAGGGTGGTATGCGTTCGTAGTGGTGAATGTATGTGTGTATGTGGCATCAATGTCAACTACAAAGACGTCTACAACGGTGAGTGCATGTGTTTATGTGAGTATCAAAGTTGACTATCAAGAAGCCTCGATTGACTTCGTCAATTTCAAGATGTTGTGCCAGCTCGGTATCTCGGAGGTGCTCATAAAGATACAATGTGTGTGTATACTCTTATAGGGATGAGTGTATGTACGTGTATATGGGGATCAGCGTTGTATTATGTTGAAAAACCAGTAGCAAAACATAAAAGAAAAGAAAAAATTGAACCAACTGAAAAATGAAATACGTATCAGCTAAACTCACGCGAGGCACTTCAAATGCACAGTAGCAGCCCTAGCTTAGCCGCTTTAAGGTCACGGTGGTAGAACGAGAAAGTGACAGGAAGTGGATAAATTGAGCTCAAGCTCAAAAAAGATGGAAAATATCATAAAAAAATTTAAAATATATTGTGGCTGCATTTGACAAATCTTTTAAATACTTGCAAAAATTCGTGCCTGCCATTTTCATCACTACGATAGCGTGTGGAAATGTGTGGTAGTAGGATATCAAAATCCCAGATTGGGTATGAGGACAAACCCAGATTGATTTTCATTATGAATCCAAAAACTAAATGAATCAGAAAACAAGTCGAGGGTTTCAGACTAACTGCAGACGCTAAAAAAGCATTGGTAGTACAACTCACGCGCAAATGGCAGAAGATTATCTTTTCAGTTAGTACAACCTGTACTGCTTCCAGTATCCTCATACAATTCCTGAAGATATGTCCACTAATTGGAACCAAACTCAACGCGCTATTGTAAACCCTTCTTTCTACTTGGAAACAAATTATATATGAATCATCATGCATCTTTTCACCTTCGCCAAATCTTGTATAACTTTCAGTGTTCAGGTTACCTGAACTTCGCCAAATTAGGGCCTGCCATTTTGGTGCTCAGGTTAGTTAGGATGGTTGCCCACCATGATGCTCGCATTTACTCATAGGAGTAGCATGTGTGTGCATGAACGTTTATATAAGCGCTTATTTGTTAAAAAAAATCATAAATTGACACTGGTGCAAGTCTTGGCAAAAAAATACAAAAATGATGCTCCAGAAAATGTTCTTAGTGTTGATTCTGTTGTTGCTACAACCTCCACGAATGTTATTTCGTGATGAAAATTTGCAAAAAATTTGTTGTTGTTTAAGATTGCTAGAATAACAATGGGGTAAACAATAACTACCGCAAAAAGTGAGCCAAATGGTCCAGCAGTCCCAAGTTCTTATTTGTTTTTTTATAGTGCCACGATCATTTTTTTATCGCATATACTGCCTCCATTCCTAAATATAAGACTTTTTAGAGATTCCACTGTAGAAACTACATTCAGATGTATATAGACGCCTTTTAAAGTATAAGCCACTCATTTTGCTCCGCATGTAGTCTATAGTGAAATCTCTTGAAAGACTTATATTTAGGAACAGAGGGAGTATGATGCATCACATGCGAGAAGAAAGCAAGTTGAGAAACAACAGAAGGGAGTGCGCAACCAAGCTAGACGCGCGAGCCCAAAAAAGTAAAACGATACAAAAAATAGCAGCGACTTGCAAGAATATATATAAACAAGATGATAATATGACATGAGGAAAATGCCGCCAAGTTAACCGAGTATTAAAGTCTGATCACAAAGGATATTGGCCAGAAGCCACGGGAGGCATCAAGTCGAACCCTAGTGTTCCTCCTAGTCCCGACAAATATTTGGTTAACTAACCTCTACCCCTCCATGATCACAAAAATATTCCCAGACAGACGCGCACGGGAGCCAACTCGAAATAGCACCCAGCTGCCTGCAACAACCAGTGTCCATCCGCAACAATAAATTACCACCACTAACAGGTCTCAACAGTAGAACGGAATACATCATCTTCTTCTTCACTTCACAGTAGGAAGGGGCTCCTCGAATACAATGGTCGCCTAGCAAGCATCTGATGGGTATATTTGCAGTTGTTTCGATCAAAAAGGTGGGGTGGCTGGGTGCAAAGACATGGGACCAACTCCTTGGCGACAACACCCATGAATTGGTAAATAAGCTGAGGACAAGACATCAAGTTAGATCTTTGTAATTTGACACCCACGATATTCATTCACATTCATGCATGTACTCTAGCTGATTATTACTCTATTACCAACAGAAAAAAGAGCTAACTGGTATGCAATTCTAAGACGCCTGCCTGTACTAGAACGGCTTACCTAGCAACAAACACTTAAGTCAACATGAAGGCATCCAACTTTGACCTCTTAAGATGCTGCGGTCTGAAATCCTCCAACTTGAGATTGGAGCTTGTCTTGGCCTCCTTCAAGAAGGAATCCCCCTTTTCTGTTCTGATCCACTCCAAGACTGCGCCAAGGACATCAGCTGCGATGCCTTCCTGCACAAGGTGTCCAGGCTCCTCTCCGCCTTCTTCAATCAATTTACCTACGTCTTGCAAAACCAGTATCTTCTCCACCACAAACCTTGCAAGAAGACGTCCAAGATACTCTGCCGCTCTTGGAGAATCACTTAGAGCATCCTCCAATGAAGCAAGAACGGATGAAAGCCTACAAATATGGTCAAAGTTAGCCAGCACTCGCCAGTGAGCATCAATGGGCAAATGCAAGGACAAAGGGACTCACCCCTCAATGAGCTGAGGCTTGCTCAATAAATTATATCCACCATTGTAAAGCCCGACAAAGAGCTTTGCCAACAACTCTCTTTCCATATCTTTCCTCTCAAAGGAATCATTTACCCAAAGTGATACAAGAGAAGGATAGAAGCTCGGAGCATTCAACTCCTCAATACACAATGCAACTTCCTTTTCATCTTTCGCACTGCCAAAACAATAACATGTTAGCACACGACATAATGGAAACTTGGCACGTTCATACTTTTTCAGAAGAAAACAGAGGCCACTAGTCAACAAAAAAAAAATCCCAAATAGTCATTCATAAATAAAATAGACTTACAAGTTGAAGTAAACTATTAGGAAGTGGTTACATACCCTCCATTTTGTGGTAGGGTCTATATATTTTATGAAAAGTAAAGTTGTATCCTTTCTGATTCTAAGGTGTTGAATTTGGACCCTTGGCAAAAAGTTACCAACTCGCACACGAGAATTTCACAACAATAAACTTTGAAAGGCACGAAGTACTAAGAGTCTAATAACAACAAATCATGACTCCATAGTCTCACAGCAGTAGTACTACAACAAATTACCAGTTGCCGATAGTAGCACATTATTATCATACATGTGTTCCAAAGAAATATAATAGACTTAAATAGTAAGACAGGCATCACCTTGAAAGTATAACCTATAATATCTAAGCTCAAGTCAGGTGTGTGCTGAAGAAATATCTTATGCGAACACTTAGTTAGAAAGTATTACCTATAATATTCCCGGATGGTTGCAATAGATTTCTCTCTCAATTCCTCCTCAGAGTATGATTTATTTCCTGAACGACCCTCCTGGCTGGCAGGTCTGTGTGAAGAACTAGCAGATTGTGCAGCAGGTGCTATTCTCCCAGAAAATCGATCTGGAATTCTAGAGCTAGTGTCTTCTCTTGTTGTTGAAGGCACAGAATTGTACCCATTAGGACCAGATACAATCCTGCGCTGGTCAACAACACTAGGAAGTTCAGAATTTGATACCGGTGGCTGCCCTCTTAAAGACATACCCCTAGCTAGGCCACCTTGTGGTCCAAGAGTGATAGCTTCGTCCTTTACAGAACGCTGGGGAAGGGGAACAGTTCTATCAAACTGATGCCTTTCCTGCTCATACCGAATATCTTGATTACCAAATCCACGCCCTCGTTGCTGAGGACCTGGAGATACCAATGGTGCTGCTGAGCCACGGGAGCCGTAATCCATAGAGGGTGCCCCTCTTCTTGGAAGAGAACTAACGACTGGACCACGAGACCTACTCGATTGAGCATGTCTTTCCTGAGCTGCATCCCTGTGAACCTCATCAATCTTCTTGGGGCCATCCACTTTACGCCTTTGCTGCCATTTGTTCTTCCTGAGATCGATTGAATCTCTGAGCAGGAATCTAACACGGGAAGATATCAGTTGACTGGTCGACAGGTTGCGCATTCTATCAAAATATGCATCCATATGTTCCTTAGCCTTTGGATGATCTATCATCTCTCCAATTGTACTCATCAATTTGCATAGTGCTTCAATGTTCTCCTCATCTGGATTCTGATAATTTCCCAACAATTTTTTGATGCATTCATGCATGATGCGCTCTGTCAACATCCTCTTTTTGTACAATTCTCCAATCAATCTAATATTACCCAGCATGCGCCTTCGAGCTTTAACTCTCTTTTCTTCCCTTTCCTCTTTCGTTTGCTTAATCTCACCTTCCTCCTCCGTTTTATCTGCTTCAGCTTCTTCTCTTTCTCCCCTCTCAAACTCCTCTTGGCACTTGTTCAATAGCAGTCTCTTGAATGTAATCTTTTCATTGTCCTCACTAAAGTCTGGCAGGGCACCAGCCAAATGGGAACAGAAGTTGGCATACATTTCACAGAAAGTTGGTTCCATCAAAGCTTTGTCAAATATCTGTGAAATCACCCCAGTAAGAGTAGATACATTGTCAATGTTCACCTCTTTCACTTGTTCAAAAAGCTTGTCAAAGTTTTGTGGGGTCAGTTTATTCAGAATGGCTTTCAGCTGCCTCTGCTTTGCCTGCTCCTCATCAGAAACTTTGCCGACAACATACTTTTTCTCGGCTTTGTGCATTACTTGCATGGGTGTAACAGGAGATGGGATCAGACCCTTTTGCTGCCATCTATCTGCATCAGAGCCACTGCGGGGTACTTGAGGAGCATTGGATTGTGGTCCCACAAGGAGTGCACCACGTGGATTCCTCAGAACACCATGAGCGCCTCCTGGGCCGCCACGGTAATTAATTGCTGGGCCGTTTGTCAAGTCCATGTGGGCATCACGGTTAGGACTGTAAGGAACACCTGATTTTAACCACTTATCATCATCCATAGCAGGACCACGGCGATCACCGCGAGATGTTGGTCTATCAGATCCCCTTGCAGAACTTGGGTGAGGATCCCGATCAATAACATAGGATTTTCCTGCCAAATCTTTGAATAGCGTACTAGTGACAGTATCCATCCGGATGCCAACAGGAAGACTAGAATACTGATGTGCAAAAGTTAGAAGAAAATCACGAGAATATTTCTTTCGGCCATTAGCTTCAGTCATATCAGAATCTGGCAATTGAACTGCACTAGCCTGGTTTCCAGAGTCCGAACTTTGCAGCTTTGGAGTAGACATGTCTGCTGCATCTTCCCAATCATCCAGCTCAACTTTTTTCTTTCCATCGTCCTCACACATCACCTCCCTTTCTGATTCCTCAGGCAGCACATGTGTCCCGTCGACTGTTGAAGAACTATCAGCACCGTCTGATGTGGCAACACTCTCAGACTGTTCTTGTGGTCCTTTGTATGCATTGTACAGATCTGAGCTCCCAGCAGCATCAGCTTTTGAAAGCATTTCCTTCCGTTTCTTCTTTCTCCCAGCTGTAGACTTTGTTCGGGCAAGCTCTGCAGTAGGTTTTTCCCTTGATAAGGGTCTAACAGAACCTGTTGGTACGGCACTTGATTGCTCAGTACTTGACTCATCCTTCGCTCCATCTGCATGTTTGACTTGCCCCTCAGATGCAAATGAATGATTCACAGGCAACATGCCAGGAGTAATACCAGAAACAGCTAATCCAGTTTCCTGAATGCTACTTCTGATATCTTTATCGTTGGTACTTTGGCTGGTAGACTCTGATGAGGTTCCAGAATTGACCTCAGACACATCGCTGGCATCCACAGAAGCTGATAAAGTTTGGGTATCCTTATTATGTGATGTATTCATCAAACTGTGGTCCTCCGGTACAGATGTTGTGCACTCCTTGGGTAGCTCTTGCGGGTCAGTTACAAAAGATGTTGCATCTGAATTACCAGGCTTTGAAGTTGCCAATGATGCCTGCTCAGCCAAGTCCACCGTGCAGTCATGTGATTCATTTTCAGTAGAATCAGACATAATTTTGCCATCACTAGATTCAGGTGAAATTTGGTGAGTTATTTCAATCTCCTTAGATTTAACAGCAGCAACACCTAAGCTTTCTACTGCTTGGGGCTCCCCGGTGCTCGCAGAGGACAATTTTGCAGAGCTGATTACCATGGCAGGAACATCAGCAGCTGGCAATGCAAACATGTTAGAAAATCAAAAAGACGCAATTCATTGATTCTTTCATTAACCTTTCAAAAAATAGAGTGCATACCATTTACTGATGTGCTGTCAGCTTCACTTTTACCAAGAATAGGAGAAATACTACTTTCAGATGTTGCTGATGTTAAGCCTGAAACCTTGCTGGTTAAATCCACCTTTTCACTATCGAAGCTCTTGGTTTCCATGTGACCAACCACATCATCACCAAGCTTCACAGAAGTTTGCCCCTTCAACTCTTCGGCAGGGGAAGCAGACTGAATGGATGCAATATGTGAGTATGTTAAGCAAAGAAAACATATGCTAAAATGCAAAACCAGTGCTAGGAATAGGAAACGAGAATAGTGTACCTGTGGTTGTTGCGGCAAATTCTTTGTGTCATTTCTAGTTGCATTTTTCTTGTTATCCTTAAGTGAATCAGTCATTGGAAGGGATTCTTTCTTTTCATCAGCTCCGGTCAAGAATGAGGGTGAATTTGCAGTCGCTGCATCAGTTTCTGGCTTTGCAGCTTGAATCGGTAAGGGTTGAGTCACCGCAGTGGGATGCTTCTCCACGGCAGATGGTGCTTTACTTTCCTTGGAGTGCTTCTCTGGGATAGATGGTGCCTTGCTCTCCTTCTCACTAACTGGTTTATTCGAAACCATAGCACCAGAAATAACTTCATTATCCTTTTGTCGATGTTGTACCGCATGGTCAGCGACCCTGAATTTAGAAGCGTCTGATCTACCTGCAGGCATACTTATCTTGACCGAGGGAACAGGTTTCTCCATGTGCAACCCACCTTGTGGTTTGCCTATGAGTTGGGACTGACCAGATGGTGCAGGCCCAGCTATGTTGTCCTTGTGGCTGGCAGGAACAGTATTTGACATAGAAGGGTTCATGAAAGGAATTGATTGACCAGCTTGAGTGGCAGGATAACCAAACCTGCCCTGTGATCCAGTGGGAACAACACCAGCAGTGCCGGAGTAATACGTGCCTGACTGGTTATACGAGGTCTGCTGTGGATTAGTATAGTAAACCATAGGCTGAGTTGCAACACCACTGACTTGCTGCGGTTGTGCTGCTACATTAGGTGAAGGCCGCCCAAGAACCACTTCTTTGTTAGTGTTTGGATCAGTAATTTTGATATTACTGCTCTTTCGAGGAGCAACAAGCTTATTCTGCTGTTGCTGAGGATACTGTGAAGCCATGTTCAAATTAACATTGCCCAGTTGAGGAGGGATTGGATGAGCAACAGACGGATACATCATGGTTTGTCCTTGATGCATCATTTGCTGATGCATTTGTTGCTGCATATTTTGGACATACATCTGCTGCTGAACCTGGGATGCATTGCCACCAGGCAATCCCATGGACACCTGCATTGAGCTTGGGACAACTCCCTGATTGTGACCACCAAACTGTAATGGGACTGTTTGTGGTTGATGGTGAAAATGCATCGGCATGCCCATCCCCGGTAAAGATTGAACAGAGGGTCTCTGTGGTGCAAAATTCTGAATTGAAGGAGCAACATGCACATCTCTCTTCACTTGGGATGGAACATGAGTGTTCAGGGTGTTAGGTTGGCTAGGACCAAGAGCATCCTTCCTCGTTTGCTGTTGCTGTGGCAGTGGTTGCTGCTGTGATGGGGGCTGTTGCTGCTGCTGCGGCGGCGTGGGATGGTGCTGCTGCGGCGGCGGGGGATGGTGCTGCTGCGGCGGTGGGGGATGATGCTGCTGCGGCGGCAGGGGATGCTGCTGTTGCTGCAGCTGCTGCTGTGGTGTGGGATGTGGCTGTTTTAGAGCTGGTGGTACAGGCATAGATGGTGCAACCTTAGGTCCATCTGAAAGTACCTGAAGAGCATGGAAAGATAACGTGATAATAGATTCTTTTCAAATGTTGAAACCTAACAAGACTACTATTACAATATATATTAAATAAACATAAACAAGAAAAACGCTTGTTTAAAGGCTCCAGAAACTGGATAATTCACAGGAACAAAGATAATTTTCCACAACACGTTACATCCAGCAAAGATTGACTACCTCTAAAGAACAGCTATGCATCTAGCTAACATAAAATAAGAAATAATTACGCAGGGAATAAGTACAAGATACCTGATTACGTTTCTGCTCATCCAAATTGGGAGGAGCTGAGCTTGTCCTAGCAGGAAATTGCTACATAGAAGTTTTTTGTAAATTAGAACCGTAAGTCAGAAAAGAACCAGAAACTGAAGAAATTTGAACCTCGAGATGCAAGCTGGAAAAGATAGGGAACACAACATACCGGGAGACCATTCATGTTCATGTTTATACTACCAAACTGCAAGTTAAATCCCTTTGATGATTCTCCTGAAACAAAAAAAGAACACAAAAAAAGCAGCAGAACGTTACCAGGCAGTTCAACATGCATGTCTACTATCCGAACAATGACCTACAGAAAAGGTGCGCACCACCACCGCAGATGGTCACAGCACATATTAGTCATCACATATACAATTTCTAAAGTGCAAAAGGAGAAGTGAACCAAACCTTTTGGCGCACCCTGAGGAGCCGGTGCATTGGAGCTCTTTGGTGGTGCCTTGGGGCCAGCCCGAGGAATATTCTTTGGCAGGGGTATATATGTTGGATTTTCACTGGGAGGTGACATGGAGGGTGCTTGCAATCCGGGTGAATCTGCCCATTGAGAACATGCATGCAAACAACAAAAACACGTCAATTAGCAGTTTTGCTTCGTTCCAATTGCAATGCAACAACACAGCAGAATGGAGCATGGAATCACCATGATGCTGGGGCCGTGGCGCAGAGACAGGAACATGGACAGGCGCGTTCTGACGCGCGGGAGGGCGCGGAGGCGTCTGCAGGGGCCCAGGTGCCGGGGCGGGCTGGAAGCCAGTGGTGTCTGGCTGGTTCACCACCCTCTGGTGAGCGCCATGGCCATTGCCAGGCTTCCTGAAGCTGCAATCGAGATCCAAGGTCACATTAAAACCCTAGCTTCTCCGTCATCATAGGATCAAATCAGATAGCATCACGGAATCATCAGGAGAAAAGGGGGTCGAACGGCAGGTACCTGCGGTTGGATGAGAGGGGGGGCTGGCCGCCGGAGGGGCCCCCGCCGCCCTTGCCCGCGCCGCCGACTCCGCCTCCGCGGTGGCCGCCGAAGCTGTTAGAGCGGCCGCCGGGTCTCCTCGCGTGCCCCTCGCCCCTGTCCCCTCGCTGGGACATAAATCCGCTCTTCCCTTCCGATCTCCTCCTCCTCCTAGTTTAATTCCCCTGATCCAATCACAACGAACCACCCAGAAATAAATCGCCGGGAAATCCGCCCGCGCACGAAAACGAAACGAAAAGGAACAACCCTGGCTCGGGGCCGCCACATGGCGCGGCGCGGCGCGGCGCGGCCTGTCTAGGTGGTCGGCGGCGGGCGTACCTTGGGGCCTCGGAGGGCGGCGGCGCCTAGGGTTTGCGGTCGTGTCCAGTGGCGAAGACGAGGGGGACGGACGAGCTGAGATGGGTTTGGGTTGGAGGGGTGGGGGGAGAAGTGGGAGCGAAGCGAAGGGGGAGAGGCGACACGTCGGGCACAAGTAGTAGGGCAGGGCAGCAAATCGGGGGCGATACGAGTTGGAATTACCGACGAAATAAGCAACCGGAAATCTCGACTGCTAATCCCCAACCGATTCCGATTTAATTTAATTTGATTTAGTTCCGACTAGGAGAGAGAGAGAGAAAGACCCTTGAGCGGTCAGGTCAAGGAGGCCAGATCAGATGCGATTGGATGGCTGGCGTTCGTCCGGGGCGCCGCTTTGGTCGCTCGCCTTGCCTCTAGGACTCTACTAGCCGCCCGTGTACTCGCTGGAGTTGTAGGCTAGGCACGCGTGTGCGCTCCGGACCCTCTTTTCTCCTGCTCGTGCTCCTTATGGTTACGTAAAGCGTTTAACTATATTTCCCTCGACAAAAACATTTTTGAACGTAACACAGACCCAAGCGCTCATATACAAGCGCATATACTCACCCCCTATGAATGCACGCACGCACAACATACCTCTATGAGCACCTTCGAAAGACTTGAACCCTGGTGGGCTGGGATACCACAGTCTCTCTAACCATCCAACAACAGGTTGGTTCGCAAAAAAACATTTATAATAATCATATAAGGGCATCTCCAACATTATCCTTCAATGGACCTGTCCTGAAATTGTCACGTCAGATGCGCTAGCATGAGGACTTAGAGCATCTCCGGCCCTTCGGCCCCCCAGGGCGGCGAAAAAAGCCGCCTGGGGGCAAACCGGCGCAAGTTTGGCGCTTGGGGACGACTCCGTCCCCAGTCGTCGCCCACCAGGTCGCCACGAGTTCGGCGAAATTACGTGCAAACTTGGTGATCTGGTACGAACTCGGCGAAATTTCATCAAAATTTGTAAAAAAAAAGTAAAACATGCAAATTACGGCAAACTACGCCAAGCTACGCTAGCCACTACGCCGCGTCCACCGCCCGCCATCTACATGCCGAGAAGTCTGTAGAAGCGGATGTAGTCGCCGCCGCCGCCGTCGTCGTCGTTGTCGTGTTCCCCGCCGGAGCCACCCCCGTCCCTGCTGCACCCCTGCCCAGGGTCGCCGACGCGCGGCGGAGCACTGGACGGCCCGGCCTCGCCCTCCTCGTCGCTGTCGAGGACGATGACGCCGCCCTCCTCGCGGCCGCGTCGCCGGGCCTGGAGCTCCGCGTACGCCTGGCGCTGGCGGCGCACCTGCTCGTGGACGTAGTCCTCCTTCGCCCATTTTAGGGCGGCCTCGTTGTCGAGGGCCACCATGCCGACGTGCTCCGGCTTCACGGGGAGCAGGCCCAGCTCGGGCTTCAACCGGACCAGGCGAAGGGAGCGCGGGGAGGGGCGGGCACCCTCGTTGATGACGAGGGCGCCGCTTCGGTGTCTCCTCCGGCTCAGGCTTGACGGGACGGAGAGCCGGCGAGCCGAAGGAGAGCGAGCCGGAGCCCAACGACGGGGACGTCGGCTCCATTCGCCGCGGCGTCCAGGAACTGCCGCGGCGGCGAAAGAAGGACGGGCGCGCCGGGTACTTGAGGCGCGGCACGTTGCCGGTCTCGATGTGGTCGAGGACGGCCTCGAGGGTGCGGCCGGGGACGCCCCACCACTCGCGCTGTCCTTCGGCGTTGAGGCGGCCGCGGGGAATGACGCTGTTGACGGAGGCGATCTGCTCTTCGCGGCGGCGCTCGAAGTACATCGTCCAAAGTGTTTCGCTGTCGGTCACATGCCTCAGCTCGTCCCGCAGTTCCTCCATCAGGGAAGAGCGGATGCGGGCGATCTCCGACTACCGTGCCACCCCTTCGGGCACCTGTGGCACCGGGACGCCGCCGGCGCTCAGCCTCCACGCCCCGGGCACGCGCATGTCTGGCGGCGCCGGGTACTCGGCCTCATAGAGGAGGCGCGCCTCCGGCTCTTGGAGGTGGCGGTGGCCGAAGCCGTTCGCCGCCGCGCCGTCGCCTGAAACCTCTCGGTCATCTTTGCTCGTCGGCGGGAAGGGGGGAGAGGGCTGCTTTTGTAAGGCGGATGCAGGGGGAGGTTGTGGCGTTCACCAGTGGGGAGGGGTCGCCTTTTATAGCCCCAGCGGGGCGGCGGGGAGGCTGCATGCCAGGCGACGCGTGACGGGAGTGGGTGGGTGCTACCTCTTGAGCACTGCGTTGGATTTCCCTGAAAAGGAGAGGATGATACAGCAAAGTAGTGTAAGTATTTCCCTCAGCTTTTGAGAACCAAGGTATCAATCCAGTAGGAGACCACGCACAAGTCCCTCGTACCTACACAAAACGATAGCAACTCGCAACCAAGACGGTTAGGGGTTGTCAATCCCTTCACAGTCACTTACGATAGTGAGATCTGATAGAGATGATAAATAATATTTTTTGTATTTTTGATAGATAGATGCAAAGTAAAAAGTAAAAGGCAAAGTAAAAACAAAGCAAGTAAATAAAGTGATAGAGATTAATATGATGAGAATAGACCCGGGGGGGCATAGGTTTCAATAATGGCTTCTCTCAAGAGCATAGATATCTACGGTGGGTGAACAAATTACTGTTGAGCAATTGACAGAATTGAGCATAGTTATGAGTATATCTAGGCAATGATCATGTATATAGGCATCACGTCCAAAACAAGTAGATCGAAACGATTCTGCATCTACTACTATTACTCCACTCATCGACCGCTATCCAGCATGCATCTAGAGTATTAAGTTAAAAACAGAGTAACGCCTTAGGCAAGATGACATGATGTAGAGGGATAAATTCATGCAATATGATAAAAATCCCATCTTGTTGTCCTCGATGGCAACAATACAATACGTGCCTTGCAATCCTTTCTGTCACTGGGTAAGGACACCGCAAGATTGAACCCAAAGCTGAACACTTCTCCCATTGCAAGAACTACCAATCTAGTTGGCCAAACCAAAAAGGATAATTCGAAGAGACTTGCAAAGGTGGCCAATTAAATGTCTCTGTTTTAGTGATATGAGCATCATATCAGTTTCGTATTTCAACACGTAAGCTTTGGGTTGAGGTCTTGAGGAGCAGTGCTAGCACGACACGAAGCACCTACGATGATGGTAGTGAATATAAAGGGGGGAAACCATAAGCTTTACGAGTATAGTGCCCATGCCATGGTGGATCTGAAGGTGCAAACCGGATAAAGCTACTTCACAACTAATGTTTGCTTTCAACTAGCCACTACGATTTGGTACGGACAAGAAAAGTACAGTAAACAAATTACGATTTATTTTTCGGGTGAGATCAGTAACTTAAGCACATATGGAAGAGTACCACCTCTCTTGCGACGCCATGTAGGCCTCTGCTGATACGTTGAGGGTGATGCGGGTGCGATGGTTGTCAGCAGCGGGGAAGAAGACTTTCGACGGCAGACGGCTGGGTCGGGGAATAAATCCTGTTGCTGTGGACGAGGCGGTCGTAGGAGTGGCAACGACAAGGTGGACGACGGCGCCGATGAAGCGAGAGGACGCGATGAAAGGACCCTGGTCCAGCGCCGTGGATGAGAGACGTCCATCTCTTGCAGTGGACGACAGGGTAGGGGTAGCGGCTCCGGCAAGGTGGAGGATGGTGTGGCAGACAGAGGAGGCTTGCCATAGTGGGGAGGTTGTCGTGGCGCCGATGGTGTATGAATGGGGAAATGGAGGGGAGGGGGATCTCAAACTTTGGTACGCGCTTCTCTGAAATGTGGGAAAGTTACGAACTTATCCCCCGTTTAAAATTTCGGACATCACGTCGGTTGGGGATAGGACGGTAATCTCGCATCTCCCAAATATTTGCCGGTAACTATTTCGGGCGAGGAGAGGGTGTTTTGCCGCCCATGGTTGGCGCCCATGGTGTATGAACGGGGTTAACAGGTAGGGCGGTTGTGTCACGTCTGAGGGAAGTTACACATCTGCCCCTATTTAAAATATTAGCCTACATTGATTTCGGGCGAGGAGAGTTTGTTTTGTCGCCCACCGTGTATGAATGGAGAAATGGAGGGAGAGACACATGTCTTTCAGATGAGCTTGAATCAAATGTGTTTTGCCACCCACGTTTGGCGCCCACCGTGTCTGAATGGGCTCAGTGTTGGGGAACGTAGTAATTTCAAAAAAATTCCTACGCACACGCAAGATCATGGTGATGCATAGCAACGAGGGGAGAGTATGATCTACGTACCCTTGTAGATCACAATGGAAGCGTTGACACAACGTAGAGGAAGTAGTCGTACGTCTTCTTCCCGATCCGACCGATCCAAGCACCGTTACTCCGGCACCTCCGAGTTCTTAGCACACGTACAGCTCGATGACGATCCCCGGGCTCCGATCCAGCAAAGCTTCGGGGAGGAGTTTCGTCAGCACGACGGCATGGTGACGATCTTGATGTTCTACCGTCGCAGGGCTTCGCCTAAGCACCGCTACGATATGACCGAGGTGGAATATGGTGGAGGGGGGCACCGCACACGGCTAAGGAACGATCACGAAGATCAACTTGTGTGTCTAGAGGTGCCCCCTGCCTCCGTATATAAAGGAGCCAAGG